GATTCTGTAACCCCTCTCTGTACTCGTCTGTCTGGCTGTTTCTCTCTCTTCCGTACTTGCCTTTGTGCCAAAATTGCTGCTATTGCCAAGGAAAAAAATCTTGCTATTCAACTGTCTCTCCCTTTGATAATCTGTAACCACTGTGTCTTGGATTTTTTGAATATTATTTACAGTATTTTATATGGTTTCAATGTGCTTTTAATGCAAATGCTGTTTTTCTGTTTATTCTAAAGGTCTGTAAGAACATATTTCTGAACTTTGAGCTCTTTCTTGACAGGTGGACTTGGAACAGTCTTTATCCATATCAGGTTTATGATAATGCTTCTTGGGGTGACTTGGGCAGTGCTGTTTTGTTGTAAGATGTTTCCCATTCCAGGCTTGTGTTCCCAGAACAATACATTTCCCTCCCTACTGACAGTAGGGAGTTCAGCAAGAAAAGACCTGCTTGGGAAACTCATACTTCAAAATGTACGACAGCAAAAGGCAAGTCGTGAGGTTCTTTGCAATATTTATCCGTAACAATAGTTACAGAGAAAGATTTAAGCAACCAAATGTAAGCAATAGTATGCAAAACTGAAAAATGCAATGCAAAATATAGTCATTAGATAATTCTGCTATGAAATCACAAAAATATACAGTGTATATAAAATAGGTGTGCAATATGAAAAGTTTAAAATCCCCTGCGATTGTGCCTTAAGTGCTTTCAGTGAGCAATGCACTGAGCAAAGCTGTCTGTGGTAGGCTCTTAATATATAGTCAGTTGTATATAGCAAGCAAAGGTTGTCTTTTCAGAGAGGAAGTTCTTTGCTGACTTTCAGGGTTAGGAAAAGGTGGTAGTTCATTTACACTGCATGCCCGTAAAGGTAGATTGTAAGCCACATTTTCAGAAGGATTGTACTGTGTAATTTTCATGAATCTTTCTGAATACATGCAATATTTGCACACAGTTCTCCTTCAGTGTTATGCAGTGCAAGTAAAGTTTTATATATTTCTCTATATAAATAAGCTCCTTGCTCATAAACTTTACGCTTTTACAATTCTGCATACGTTGTGCATGCCTTACATGTGAACGTGATTCAGCTAGAAGCAATACTGTTTGCTCATGCAGACAAACATATCTTCATAGAATCTGCGACTCAGTCACTTATTTTCACAATCATTCACATTTTTTTTTCTTGTTTTAATTTGGTGCATTTGAAGCATTAGATTACAAGAGAGATAGCAAACTACAGTTTTGTGACAGTGTTCTTTATGTAGTGCCTTCATTTTAAACTACCGACCATAAAGATTTCTTACCACATATTTATACAGAAATCCATATTTCAAAATGCAACACCAAACTGGGAGGAGAGGTAGTTCCTCTTCTGCTGTGCCTTGAGGGTTGTCTCTTCTGTTTGGAGGAATAGTGGTTGTCTCTTCTGCAGACATGCACATTGTGCTGAACCCTTTTATGGGGTTTCACACAGCTCCAGAGAGATCTAATGCAAGATTTATTTATTTGTGCTGGAAAATTTTAAATATAAACTCAAGAGCTAGGCCATGTATTTTTGGAAGCTGAGGAGAGCCCGTGGGTTGGACGATTAGAACCAAGTCTCAGTGCCCAGTGAATCATCCTTCAGTAGCAAGCCAGGAAACTCTCTGAGGAGATGTGCTTGACTGTTCCCAGTCCATCCTGTTCCTTGTCAGTGTTCTTATCAGGATTTGCGTGGTTTTGGGGGGAAAAAAATGAGAATGCTAAAAGACCAGAAAGTTGAAGACCAGAAAATTTGGAAAGGCAAAGACATGACAGAAAGGTTT